AAATATTATGTCAATTACTAAATATGCATTAAAGCTCTATGCTGCATTTTGATAAAGGATTCTGGAAATAATCTGTTTTCTGTAAGGAATATCAATTACAACGAAACTCTTTCTGGTACTTAAAGGTTTCTTCCATTCAGCTTCCATAAAGGTAATAACAACCAAAACAAAATACCAGTCCGTAATTCTATATATTTATAGTCGGTGTTAGTTTTTCCCATGCACATCAAGTGGCAAACACATGTAAAAAAAACAATGTTTATTTGTGGTGTACATGTATATATATATATATATCCGTAATTAAAAATGCCTTTTCACTAACACGTGATCTCGGATAACATTTGGTAGTCCTAATTTCCCCTATGTCAATCGGAAAGAAGAATGTGATGACTGATAAGGAATACACATTAAATATTTATTTTTGTTAATACACATTCCGTTGTCCGAATATAACGAGCATCATCACGACTACAACAGCAAAGATGATGATGGTGATGATGATGATGATGATGATGATGTTGATGATGATGTTGATGATGTTGATGAAGATGATGATGACGACGATGATTGTATTGTTTTGTATTTATTTTCCGTCATTTAAAAATACATCAGCATATATATATTTACAATCATTAAGACACACTTATACAAAAAGGGAAGACGGAGGGATGGCCCTACTCAGCGTTGTTAGCATAACAATGCTGGTTTACAGAGGGCTCCCTGATGATGATGATGATGATGATGATAATAATAATAATACTAATGATAGTGATAATAATACTAGTAGTAGTAATGATAATGAAAATAACATCAATGATAATGATCATTATTGAACAATGAAGATTTCGGAAATATTATCTGAATATACTACGATTATAGTGTGTGATTTTATAATTGTATAAGTTTTATTCATCATCATTTTATAGATTCTGTTTAGAGTAGTATGTTTCAGAACGCGTTGTCTTTATTGCTCATTATGATGTAAATAAATGCTTCATACGATTGTATGTTTATTCTTTTTTGTAGAATATTGAGACTGTGTAGGCCCAAATACCCAGGCATCCCAGTAGGCAGACACCCAACGAAACCGACGACCGACGGCCTCGTGGCCTCATGTGTTGTTGTCTTGTGAAGCCTGAGGTGAATGAAACATCAGGAGAAACATTGTCGGTCTCGCAAACTCTCGGTCTCGGAAAGCTTCAGATAAAATATTCAGGAAGATCATTGTCGGTCTTGCTGGCTGTTCGTCTACTGAATACTTGTAGCGCAAGTAGAAGCAAGATTAAATATGTTTTGATGTGTGTATGTAGGCCTTGAACTTGTACTTAATGATGCTGTCAAATAGTACAAGGTTCACCACCTCAGACTTGTGAAAGTTCTGGTTCAGTAGCTTGTTGTCACAATCGGTTGAGGTTGATTAAAGTAATTTAGTTTTGTTTCTGTATCTGTGTTCCCCTCTTATTTTTGTTCATTGTTTATATCTACATGTAAATATGTTATATGGACCTTTACTCTTGCAGCTGAGTCTGGAATAAAGTCTTGAATTGAATTGAAGTGATTTCAGTCTTCAAAATAAATGTTTTCTCAGTCTTTCTAAGCACAGTTGACATTTTCACTAAGTATTTGTATAAAACAGCAAGCAAAAAGATTTTTTTTTTTTTTATTAAAAGGAGGAGTGATGGCTCATTGGTAGAGCAGAAACATCATAAGGAGAAAGGTGAGGATGGGCACAGTATAAAAAACAAAATCACAATCGAGGGATAATATTGTTTTATATTCGATATGGGCATGGGCCAGTCGCCCCCCCCCCCCCCCAGCCCTATATCCGCCACGGGTTCAATACTCCCCATAATAATTTACGTCTGTTCGTGCTCACTCTCAGACTTGTCTACACTTAAGTATGGTCTCCGACTGTAAATACTTCTCCATGTCTGAGTGAGACAATAAGTGCAAATTAACATAATTTTACATGAGAACCGTATTACGGGAGTTATGGTTGGTTAAAGGGGATTCCCCGATAGAGTGGTCAGATGTGACGTCATCAAAAAAAATATTTTTTGAGTTTCCAAATTTGAAATTTATTTTCCGAAACAGCATGTCCAGATGTATTGGCTGAGAAATATGTAAACCATCTGAATAAATAGATTTAAATAGAAAATCACTGTTATTTTGCTCTGGATCATAACATTAGAGATAGATGCAAATCTTGGTGACGTCGTGGAAATGCGATTAATAATTGTTTACATCTGACAACTTTCGGTTTTACGATGCAGACCATTTTGTAAATCCGTTTTAGTACTATGCAGCAGTGGCGGATCTAGGAGGCCCGGTGGCCCGGGCCCCCCCCCTGGCCGAAAAAACAGGTAAATACAACTTTTTTTCTAAATAAAAGAGAAGACGGGCCCCCACCCCTGGCTCAAAGGGGAAGGGGTGGGTGTTGATTCGGCGCTAAATATTTTCTCACGAATTTGGAAAAAGAAAAAAATGGTGCTCCTTACCCCCCTCCCCCCACCCCCGCTTATTCGGCGGCTGGCTGACTTGGCGATTTGGCCCCCTCCCCTGCCGCCGGCTGGATCCGCCCCTGAGTACGGGACAGTAGAGAGTGAATAAAACTAGGAAATTATAAATGAAAATATATTAAAAAAAACGTTGTAAACCTGGCAATAACAGGCTCTTGAATCCAGTTTTTAAAATGGACATGGCTCTGTGGCTACCCGCTACCGACCGCAGGCTACGCTGACGATTGCCAGCTACCCCCCCCCCCCCCCCCCCCGCCCCCCGAAGTGGCGGATCCAGGGGGCGGGCGAGATAGGACCCCCCTGGCGCCAATAAAAAGCCCAAGGCTCCCCTGTATTTTTTTCTACATTGCTCACCCCCACCCTCTTCCCGCAAAAGGTCCCTATTTTCTTACAACAACAACAATATTTATTATAAAACCCCAAAATTGGTTTGTTTTTTTAAATAATAATATCTGGCTTTCCGGCAAAATTTATGAATTATTTGCAAATATGTAGATTAAGATCATCAGACTTTATAACATTGATGAGGTGTATTGGGTTCTCTTCACTTGTCTCTTTCTGGCTCTCTTTCTCTTTCTCTCTCTCTCTCTCTCTCTCTCTCTCTCTCATTGGGACTGAAAAAGTATTGAATGTAATAATCTTTGATAAATAGATAAAACCGAATTCCTGTCCTTCTTGTACTTCGTAAATATAATACTTTACTTTGTTTACAAGTTAATTGCATGCTAATTGTATAGATCAATTAAGATAATAGCAATAAATATGGACTTTGACTTGAGTGAGATAAAAATGGGTTTAACATCAGTTTTTCTTTTTCAAAGATTTACACAAAAAAAGCACTATAGCTGGGTGTCGAACCCGGTACCTTCCAGTTACCAGGCGATTGCCTATCCACGAGACTAAAGTGTCACATAATTGCTTATTCCTGTATTTATTTATACTAATTGTTGTAGATGTAGCAAAATATTTTGTTTTTTAAGCACTAGGTGGGGGTCGAACCTGATTTTTTTCAGTTACCAGACAATTGCCTATCCACTGGACTAAAGTGTCACATTGCTAATCTCCATGTATTTTTTGTCATACTCACTATGAACATGACAGACAATGAAAGCGGACAATATATACAGTTCCTCAGGTAGACAAAGGGACATCCCTTCACTGCTATTATGTAAAAATGTGTAGAACAGGTGTCACATGCATATTCACCCGTTCTACACATTTTTACATAATAGCAGTGAAGGGATGTTCCTTTGTTTTCCTGAGGAACTGTATATTTTGTCCGCTTTCATTGTCTGTCATGTTCATCGTGACTTATTCTAATTATCGTAGATGTAGCAAAAGAGAAAAAGCACTTTCGCTGGGTGTCGAACCCGATATCTTCCAGTTACCAGGCAATTGTCTATCCACTAGCCCAGCTAATTAACAAAAAAAAACATTATAAGAACATCATGATAATGTTTGGTTGAACGTTTAGGAAATGTTTTGTTCAAATGCTTAAATCATATGAAAATGTATGGTCTTGTGCTGAAAATGTCAGCAATCTATTTCTAAGACCATACATTTTGATATCATCATCACATTGCATAGAAACATTACAATATTGTTATTCTCAATTTTTTTAAATATGTTATTCTAGAAATGTTGATTAAATGTTGTAATGATATTTTATACATGTTTGAAGGAAATGTTATGAAAATGTCAGCAATCTATTTCCAAGACCATACATTTAATAGAAACATATTATGCGTACTTTTGTTCTTGAAACTGTTATTTTGGAAATGTTGATCAAATGTTGCAATGACATCGAACAATGACATTTTTATATTTTTATAACATGTTTGCATTCATACATCTTCCAAATGTACATGCAATTATCCTGATTTTTTTGTTTCTAGTAAATACATATAAGTGAAAGAAGGAGTATAAATGCTTTAGTTAAAATTACATCATCAAAATCTTTTAACCATGACAAAATGTGTGCTCCATAATTGAAACCTGCTAATATATGTATATTTGTCAATTATATCCGCTTCATATAAATTTCATCTGTAATCGCACCCAAATAACTCCAACCATTATTTTATTCCAATCCCAGCATTATTTATGGAGCACATATTATTAATTTAGCAGGTTTCAATTCACATGTGGAGGTCGATAGACTCAAAGGCGATATAGTTTACTAATGAACATGAGAGAGAGAGAGAGAGAGAGAGAGAGAGAGAGAGAGAGAGAGAGCATTGATGTTACATATTTATTTCTGGCTCAAGTATATTTCCATTGCCTTGGAGATGTACTCTATCTCCCACAACATGTGCTCTATACTTCGTTGGCTCTATAAATAATGCTGGGAAATGGACTTGAATAAGATAACAGGAAGTTGGAGACGTTGTATTGCACTTCCGGGTTATACACCTGCTAGCCGACGAGGGGGTCAAGTCAATTATGATTGATCCACGCGATACGCACCGACAGCCTTCCCTTGGAAACCCGACAATAGCCGCCTTAGCTACGGGCCTATTGTCTGCTAAGTGAGCGAAGCGACGGCTAATCCATACGAAGTGATACTCGAAACGTGTTTTTTGTTTGGATCTGTATTTCTCACGCAGACGGTAAGTTTATTCATTTACCACTAATTTTACTACGTTTTAGGATAGAAATGTAAAATAAACGATTTGGCAGGGTACTGAACGGAGGATATCACTAGTTTTCAGTGTGATAACTAAATGTTTAGTGTTTTGGTTGCACCAGTTTTTCTCGTACCAATTCTCGCAGCGTGCAGTGTTTATATCTATTGGGAGTCAAGCCAGGGCTATTGACTCGTCAATGAGAGGGGTTGTGCCGGTGTATTAGGCGAAGGCCGTATGCTGGCTGTACATGAAATTGAAAAGCTTGAAGTTCGTAATATTCTGAATGTAATACCTTTCATGATGTAGAGATATCGAGATTTTAGGGATTGAAGCACGAAATGTTTACATTGTGGACTTAATTAATGTAGGGAAAGTGTATTCTACTGATGCATAGGCCTATAGAGTATATAACAATAATTGACAAGGATATGTTAAAAGAACATTTTTAAATAAATATTGTAAACGTGTAGCTGTAGTAGTACAGAAGCACATAGCCATAGCTATATGGTTTTATTAAATAATATTTCTTTTCATCACGTCAAGCCCTTGTCAAATGGGATTAATTGGGCAAGTTGACTTTTTATGTTGACAAATTATGTTTGTATTTGGAGCTATATTGAGCTGTATGCTCTTACTTTTTTGTATACAGATTACAGGAATGAGAAGCATATGAATATATTTTACAAGATCTTTTTATAAGATCTATATAATTTTTAATTTGTTTCTATATTTTTTAATAGAAATGTTGTTGACCATATCTATTAATAGTAATATTATCTATCATTTCTATTGCCTGATGGAAGAACTTTGTGAAATTGATAACCAATCAACAATATTACCCTGTATTCTTAATTTTCTCTTTATATTTAGTATTTTGTATTTACTTAGAAATCGGCGACTTTCTGCATTAAATCGGCGTTAAATCAGCCTGCCCAATAGTTTGAAATTCAAACATTTTGTTTGGATATTAAAGGGAATATACCGTCCTTCTTCCTTATACTATGAAATGGTAAGATTAAAGTGACCGTAGACAGAAATTTATTTACTTGGAGGAGTTTTTGGAAACATATTTTGTTTTGTGACACTCTCCTCCCAACCAACTAGTCTCAACGGAACATATCACTGAATAATATAGACTAGATTAAAGTATACTAAACACCAAAATGTTATTAAATTTTATTTTTTATTTGCTGTGCTGTACTAAGACATGAGCTCCAAATATATCACTGAATACTGCAAGTTTAAGTGAAATTAAATGATTTGTTTTTTTTCCCAAATACAGAGTATTTATAAGTGAAGGCAACGGTAACGTATCACCATGAGTGCCATTATCTACCCTCCTGCACCGTTGTCACGGCAACAGGAGAAGGCAGAGCTTTCTGAACTTAACGACCGGATGCAGAACTACCTGGGGAAAGTGAAGAAGATTCGTGAACAAGCAAATAAGGTATAGATCAAAGGTTTCCTTCTGGAAATTGATATACCATTCTTCATTTTGGTCCTCCTGTACTTTATGTGGCAGTGGTGATGGTGGGGGAGGAGGTGGGTGATGCATTACAAATGTTAAGAAAAAGGTTATAAAAACTCTATGCAGCATCACTAATGAATTTAGTTGTTGACACAAATCAGAAAAAAGAAAATCTATGGAAGGACAGGGTTCCAAACAGTGCCCCCCCCCCCCCCCCCCCCATTGCAGTATGGGCTACTGCATGACGAAATGTCAGGCATTATAAGGCATATCATTAATGTGCATCGATCCAATACATGCTTTGAAATGTTCCAGATTTCTGCAAATTGATCCACAATTAAAGTGAATCAGTCAGTATTTTGTTATTGTCTGAGGTTGATTGCCCCCCCCCCCCCCATTCTTTCAAATCAATACTTACTCTTCAAAATTGTACATTTTCTGGAAATAGATTGTTTTACCAATCTTATTTGATATTTTCTCAGGTTGATTCTTCAGCGTTGCTAAACTCTATCAGGGTACTGGAAGATGAGGTGTCTTCACTCAAGAACATGTACGACATGGAACTGAACAGCCTTCGGAGACAGCTGGAGGATACGACCACACTGAAGAACAATGCAGAGACGCAGGCACAGAGGAATGGTGCGCTTGCTACCGATCTACAGGATAGGTATGACAGAGGGTTCATGTCTCAGATCTATACATGAAGTTGGTGACAGTGCTTTCTTGAAAGTGGCCACTTTTTCAGCCATGCTTATTAAAGGGATAATCACCAATGCTTTTCTATTTGATAACAATTTCCTTCTTTCTCTTTTTTCTCTCTTTTTTAAATCAAAGGACAACAACATATTTACAAGTGGCCAAAGCACATGTCAATTTATGAAAAAAAACAATGTTTTTCTTTATTGTTTTGAGTTTCTGATGGTATAACTCTATTATCAGATAAACATTTACTTTACTTGTACTAAAGAAAAGTGTTGCTGAGCTAGCGCCATGAGCGTCCCTGGACGGGTGTGCACTCTATAAGTTTACACTATTATTATTGTTATTATTCATTACTTCTGTCTAGGTTGTCCGTCGAGCACCATCGCAACAAGGCATTGGACGGCGAGATCGACAATCTTCAACGTCTGTGTGCGCAGAGGGACATGGACTTCCAGCAGGCCAAGGGAAAGGCAGAGGAGTTGGGAAGGAGAGTGAGGGATTTAGAAGATGATTTAGGAGCAGCTCAGCGAAAAAGCGAAGATACACTCAGAGGGTAATAAAGATGGTTTGATTTGATATGAGTTCAACTTACAAGGACTTGATCGACATTGTTCTGTTTGAAGGAAGAAAAAAAACTTTGATATGATTTCATTTGATCCGACAGAGTTTGATTGAGTTTGATACCTTTATGTCCTCATCGATATTGTGAACCAACGAATCTGTACGATAATATATATTATGATGCAGTTTGGAAAGTGAATGTTCCGAATATCTGAGAAGAAAAAGTAATTTTGAGCTACAGATATTTTAATAGATTTCCAATTAGATACACCTTCTTTTCCTGGTAGTGTATTGCTGTATAATACCATTATTAATATTATTATTATTATTATTACTTATACCGCGCCTTTCCCATTTAAGGCCCAAAGCGCTTACCGGTACAGTAAATGAAAATGAAAATTACATAAATACATGTGATAAGAAAATCAGTCTTACAAATACAAACTTCAAAAACTTAATACAATTTCCCAGGCACAATTTTATTGGTTATTGTATCTTTGTATTTTATGAAATTAATAATTGAATTTAATTGAATTAAATTAAGTTTTCATATATTTCCTAGGTTGCTTTACTTGACTTTTCATTGATTAATTGTTTTGTTTGTTTGTCCTTGAAATGTAATAGATTGGACAGAGAGACTGTGGCAAGACAAGAAGCCCAGGATGCAAGACACAACCTTCAGAAGAAACTAGACTTTCAAGAACAACTGCATAATGAAGTAAGTGCCAGATGACTTTTTCTTAGCATTAGAAGTGATATTATACATTTCTAGATGATAAAAGAAATTTAGTTCTAAATATGGTAATTTTTAACATTCATGTTGTCAAGTATCGCTTTTCTGACTTTGTTTTCCTTTTCTATTCTACCTCCTGTTGTTCATGTCTTATGAGGCGTTGCAAGAAAGTTGCAATTGATTGCAAGTTGCAAAATTTTCAACTGATATTAGCAATCGATTGCAACTCAACTTTCTTGCAACGCCCTACTAGTCTCCTAAATTTCCCAAGATTTTGTTAGGATTAAAGTTTCAACAAGTAAATTAAGTGAACTAGATTTAGCATTTATTCCCCCCCCCCCCCCTCCTCCTCTCTCTCACTCATGGGGCGTTGCAAGGAAGTTGAGTTGCGATCAATTGCAAATTTGCAATTAATCGCAAGACTTACGCTTGATTTGCAGGATTTGCAATTGATTGCAACTTTATAGCACGCCCCATAAGTGTGATTATTATCCCGATATGCTGATACATTACCTCATTGTTAATCAAGAGTGAAGTACTACCTCAAAATCAGGGCAAACATTTTTGTGCTGAAACAAAATTTTAATTTGCTCTAATCTAATAGCAAACTATTGAATGGCGAAACAGACTAGAGGATGAGGCTAATAGGATTCTCCAGCTTGAAGGTAAAGTCCGAGAGCTCAGCCGTCCTGATAACACGCTGCAAGAGGTCTTAGCCCAAGTGAGGGCAGCAGCCGCGGCAGAGCTGCAGAAATACAAGGAACAATCGGAAGCAACATTCCATAGAAATGTAAGATTGTAATCTCAATTGCCATTAAATGTAAGATGTTGTAGAAGTATTGTAGTCGAGTCGTTTAAGCACGCAACTTGAAATCAAAGGTCCTGGTTCAATTCCCATCATCATGGCACTAATGTCCTTTGGCAAGGCATTAACTACATTTGCCACACTTGACCCAGGTCCGGTAAATGGGTACCTGGCAGGAATTAATGCCTTTGAAATGCTAGAGCACTGTAATGGCAACTAGGCTAAAGCCGGGGTAATAATTAATTTGTGAGCCTCAGAAGCGACATTCCATAGAAATATAAGATTATAATCGGAATTGCTTTATAAATGAGAGATTACCACATAAATAAAGGATTCGCTAAAAAAAAGTGCCAGAACCTTGTTATGACAAAGTCCTTAAGATTAAGGAATTACCTATCAAAATCATATTAAATCAGGTCTGATCATCAATAAAACAATGAAAAAATGACCAATGACTTGCAGATACAAGAGTTTGTTTAAACAGTGATCTTGAAAATGAGGTTCAACTTCATTGTTATTTTGGTTATGAAACTGTAAAATGTGTGAAGTAGCATTTGAAAATACATGATGCATACAAACTGTCTATATGTGACCCGGCACCACAAAACCAACAAAAAGTCGCAACCAGCGATTCTCCGTAATCAGCTAAAATGTCAATTTAGGTGAAAAAAATAGATTTTTGTTTTTTTGCATTTTCTGAAAGAGTGGTCTTTTCTGTACCTAGTATCAAAATTTGGAAGTCTAAAACATAGTAGAAGATGTGTTTTAAATGGTTTTTCTAGACCAGTTTTTTTCGCACAGCCTTCGGTCTCTTCCAAAATTTGATCACTTTTCCCGAGCGAAATTATCGTACTCCGGAAATGGTCGGTCGTTGCTAACGGGTCGTGCTACGCGGGCTGTGATTGGTCCGTTATAGCAATCAGTGCGGCGCGCCTTTTTGTTTGTATCCGCTTTCACATCCGAGTTCCAGCAGTGTTATGTAAGGGGGAACAAAAAGACTCCGGGTCCACCATGAATAGGCATTGTCTAGTGCAGGTGTCTCAGCACTATGTTGCAGTTCACTTAATCTGTCCAATTACAACTCTATACATTTACAACATAATAACTTTTGAAAGACTTAAGTCCACACATTGAAACCTCAGAAACATAATGAACAGACTATGTTTGACTATCAGGCCAAATTTCAGCCTAATCTGAAAATCTCTTCATAGTGGTTGCTATGGCCTTTTGATTCACCCTTCTATTGATTTCCCTGTGGTTTGCTTGCTCCGCATGCTTGAATAGCCCCAAACTTTAAAGCTCTCTTTCTCACAATTTAATACCAGTAACCTCCCTCACCAGCTCTTTTCATTCACTAAATTGAAAGGGTTAGGAAGCTTCAATTTGGACAAGTAATATACCATTTTAATGAGGAGAACTTCTTCTTTCATAATCAGATGAAATCAGGAAAATAATTTTTTGCGACTTTTTGGTGGTTTTGTGGTGCCGGGTCACATATAAATGCGTGACGCCATCACTTTGACCTTCCCAAACTTTGTAGATCCAGCAATTGAAGAATAAGATTGATACTGATGCTACAGAGATGGAATATATGAACAATGAGAACAAGAGATTAGGAACAAAGCTTGAGGAGCAACAGTGTGATCTAACTAGGCTCAACAATCAGGTAAGAAAAGTTGTCAAATGTTGTTTTGCCTAAATTATAGTCTGGTTGTTATGTTCTCAGGCAAGAGACTTGAAAATCCAGGTGTGCATGGCAAGAAGATAACTTGGAGAGTGGATTTATTTTTAAGTAAAATTTGTGCCTAAACTGAGAGATATATGATACATATCTCCAGACAAACACAGCAAAAGCCTTGAAAAGAAAGGGAGTAATTCAAGGAGAGATACAAGAGGAATCAATGTATAATGATAAGACGGTTGAAAAGAGATACTGGTACACAGAAAGATAAATCATATAAAGAAATAAACGATACATTGTACCCAGGGGAAAAGCTTTGTATATAAAAAGACAGAAAGGGAGAAAAGAAAGGAAAAGTTAAATTCAAGAAAGAGGAAAGGGGATACTTGGTTCTAAGGGAGTTAAGGACATGACCATTTTCAAGAGAAAACATTAAAAGAGATAGAGCGAGAAACATAAAGCCTTTAGATATGTTTTAAGAGTGATCTTTTGATAACTAAAGCAAACAAAATTGTTACGCCATTAATTCTGTACTGCTTGTTTCTCATAGCTCACCGCAGCTGAGAGTGCCAACCGCAACCTGCGAGACACAGTATCAATAGAGCGGGAAAAGACGTCTGCTCACATCCGCAACCTGGAAGACAAACTCCGAGATATGCAGGAGGCCCTCGTGGAGAAGATGAGGGAGATCACCAAGGCAACGGATGCTAAGCAACCAATGAGGGTGGAGCTTGAAGCTCTTAAGGGAATGCTGTTGGAAGAGGAAAGAAAGTGAGTTTATTTTCATGAATTTCACACCTATTGTTATTTTGTGTTGATCATTTGTAGCACTAGATATGTTCGCAAAACGTAAATAGACCCTCCTGTATACGGTAATTATGTAATAGATAGTAATGTATGCCTTGTGAAAGAGTGCTGTGAGTCAAAATATTCATTTTTTGGATTTAGCAATAACATGAAAGATTTTTATGTGAAATCCATATTGTGTAAAGTTTTATTAAATGATTGATTTTAAAAATACATCAACAAATTGAGAGATAAATTAGATCATGTCAAGGATCCTTACTGCTCTTTACATACAAATGATTTTAAGGGAAGAATACAAATGTACAGCTGCATATGAATAGGAATATCTTGCAATACAAGAAATCTTAGAAATAATCTTTGGCGTTCAGGCTTTTATCAATTGAATACTAAGCACAAGTAACTCTTTCTGAATACTAAGTATGGACAATTTGAATCAAGTCTAATATGTGTTAAACTCAATTCAAATTGTACAGAATAGGTTAGAATATGGTAATGAATTCCTTTTTTCTATCCTAACCTACCCTAACCTACAGGTTAGCAAACATACCAGGACCATTAATACTACCAGCGAGACCAGTCACTCTCCCTAGCCCACCCCTTCACCATCGGCCTGCAACCGTTGATCCTTCGGCATCGTACATCAGGAGTACTAGCCCACGAAGTAAGTCTCATCAATTAATTTTCTCATATCAAAATATTCTCTGTGTGAGCTCAATCAAGTATGTACTAATGACAAGTACTTATATAATATTGGATGGCCTTGAGTGTGTACAAGAATATATTGCTCAAGCTATGACAATATTGGACGAGTCAAAGACGAGTCTAATATTGTCGAGAGCAATATATTCTTGTATCACACGAAAACAAAGCCATACAATATTATCATTATCTATACTAGTCTGACTAGCAGAATAACAAAATTTGACTTATCTCGGTATATATGGCTTTGTTTTGTGTGATATCGATAGTTTCCGGATGACTGAGCAGTACAAAAAAAATATTGGTCAGTCATCCGGGTACTGCGCTAAAGATATTGAATACACTGATTTATTGTACCACTTGGAAGCCTTATATAGATAATAATATTGTATATTGATAATACAATACATTTTCTATTTTCTAAAGTAAAGATTAAAGAAGCATAGTCTAGTGGGCTCAAATGGGGAGTTTAACACTATTTAGGTGTTTACAAAATAACAAGTGTTGTCAATCACCAGGCTTAGCCTTCAGTTTTGTGACCAACACGCCTTATGTAATGCTCTGCATTTTCCACCCATCCCCCCCAACATATGGTAAAGTCATCTTAAAATTTCCCTCACCCAAAGACTCTCCAAGTCTCTTCTTGATGGGTGCATGGCTTCCTTCGCTGTGTGCAGACATGCATGAACACATATTCACAGAGACGCCAAGTTCAAAGATCGGCAATGCGTGACATTGTTAGAGGCTTCAAATCCCTGCTAGATACATGCAAAAATCGAAGGTTAAAAAAGTTCTTGTTTTCAAGATGGCCACTGATACCTAAAAGTGGCCATAAATCACTTATTATTCATCCTAGATACATAAATTTGGTGTCTATCCCATGGTTTGGGGGTCAGAGAATCCATTAAAATGAGTTATAATTAATGCTCATTAGTGGCCAGCTAGGAAACTCCAGAAATTCAAGAGGCCTTGAAAGGGCTAATCATCATAATAAATGATTGATGAATGTGCATTGACCTTACAGGTGCAAGACCAGCCTCTGTTCCAGTCCTATCCACCATGGGCCAGGGCAAGGACTACTTTGATGCTATGTTTGGGGACCTGACCCAGAGGAAGACCATTGGACCTATTATCAAGGCCAGGACCGGACCACCTAGCCCCACCCCGATCTCTCATGACTACACAACTGCAACATCAAGGTAAATGGAAAAGGAAATGATAACGTACGTAGTTAAAGCCCATGTGCACTAGTTTGACCAGGAGGGATTAGGCCATCCAGCGTGGTCACTGACAGGTGGTTATCTCATCAAATCAGCTCTCAATTAACATAAGAAAAAGGGGATCATGGGGGAATAGCGGTCACCGATTAGGCATTGTTTGCTATATAGAGGGCGCAAGTAGCTACAAGTAATGCACTTCCGCTTTAAAATAAAGCAGAAATTTAAGCAAAAAATGCATAACATGTATGCACATAGAGGTTTAGAAATGAGCCTATGGTGATTTTTCAAATTTGCCTAATTAGAAACACTAGATATACCAGAGAAAAAATCAGCAAATCGGGGCCGACATCAATTTTATAGGGTTTCTTTCAATTAAGATGAAATGAATTCCCAGATGAATTTCGAATATTTTCATGTGTGCTGATGAAGGAAAAAAAAATGCAACTCAGTTATTACTTTAGAACAAATTGATTACATGCCCTCTTAATTCTTTGTCGAGTTCTAGACACATGGGCGCGAATTCACAAAGGAGGGCAATTTAACCCATGGTTTAAACCCTCATTTACATAACCCATGGTCTAAAATTAGCGCAAAATAAGTGAACCTTGCCTTCCGCGCGTCTAATATTGGACATCTGACTGTTTTGGGTTATGTAAATGAAGGTTTAAACCATGGGTTAAAGTTAAACCTCCTTTGTCAATTCGGGCCAATGTGACTCGTTTGTCCAAATGCATCTTTGGAAATTCTTTATACTGTCATGTACATGTGTATAAATAGTGAAATTAATAAAGGTTATCACTTTCAAACTAGCACATTCATCTGCTTGTCATATTGATCTTTATTGAATTCTCTTGTGATTCTCTCAGTGCGGTCAGCTCCCTGAAGATTCTTGAGATCAACGAAGACGGCAAGTTTGTGCGACTCTTCAACGCTTCGGGGAACGAGGACGTGGAGGTCGGTGGCTTCCTCATCCAGCAGAATATCGGAGGTCATCCCGTCGCCGTGTTCCGCTTCCCTCCCAGGACACGATTTAGGCCAGGATCTGTAATAACGGTAAGAAAAATGATGGTATCAATAGGTATGATCATATGGGAAGGTCCCTATCTGCTACAGCAACACCACCACCCACCCACTCTCTCTTGCTTTCTGATGATGTCATTTAATCTGCATTATTGTATTCATCAAAATCTAATTATATTACTGTCCTTTTTCAAAATTTGGTTTTAATTTCTCTGTAGTTGATGTTGATAATGATTGATTATTATTAATCTTGTCCTTATATTTTGATATTTCTTTAGTTCATGAATTATTAGTTATGTCTAATGTTGTTGTTTTATTATTGTAAAGCGCATTGTTATTTTCTCTGAAGATGAAATGCACTATAGAAGCCTAGGTTATTATTATTATGATTATTAAATGTCTAATTATTGCATCATAATCTTAGCTTACTACTTTCATATACCTGGAGTATATCATTGTGCTGTTTATACTGCTTTAGATGTTCAGAATTACCATTTTGATTTATTTCTGTAAAATTTACTTTTGTCTATAACATATATAAAATTGAGAACGATCCTGATTAAAGAAAATGATTTTGTATTATTTTATTTGAATGTGTATATAGGTTTGGGCAGCATCCAGCCGAGCCCACCACAATCCACCTACAGACTTTCTCTGGAGGGAACAGCATAAATGGGGGACCGGACCAGAATGCACCTCTATACTGTGTAAACCTAATGGACAGGTAGGTCACTACAGTCAAACCTGTCTATAACGACCGCCCAAGGTAAACACTAAAAGTGGTCTTTATAGACAGGTTCCTTTAGTACATGTTTCAATGAGAAACCATTTTCGAGGGTAACAAAAAAATGTGGTCTTTGTAGATAGGTCACTAAAGCAGGTTTGACTGTATGTCACATATGAATTTAGAAAATATAGTGAGAAATAAGGAGTAGATTTATAGAATAATATGTCTAGAGGGGAAGGTAGTAGAGGTGTTGTGGTCCAGCGGATAAGTCTCTGTACTGTGAACCACAAGTTACGGGGTTCAAATCCCTGTCGCAGCACTCATGTCCTTTGGCAAGACTAAGCAAGATTGGCAAGATTAATCTATATTTGCCGCACTCTACCCAGGTGAGGTAGATTGGTACCTGGCAGGTATATGTTCGTTGAAATGCTCGTGCACTGCAATGGCAGCCTTTAACTAAAGCCAGGGTGATAATAATGGAGCACCAGGAGTGGCAATGTGCCAAACATGAGCACAAGACAAGACCCCTGTTTTATTATTATTATTGTTAATACATGTACTACATTTACCAAGCAGCATAATTGTGGGGGTGAACTCGAGTGTACCACCATCTTTTGTAAACCTAACAGACATATGTGTAAACATATATTCAGTGCCAATAATAACTATGCCCTATATATATGTGTCGAATATTTTAATGACCCTCTTTCAAAGAATAAAGTTCATCCGCTTTAACCTTTCCATTTCAATACAAATACAGGCTATCGCATGGACCACTGCTGCCCATCGCTTTACAAAGACTGCCCAATGCTACGACGGTGATACGGATAGTTCGGCAGGTCATGACATCTTGGACCTAGAGTACGAGGGAGGCGCGTCCAATCCTCATCCTCAATTTGAGGTGGAGATCGACGGCAAACCTGCCACGGTCCTGAAAAGGTCAGTAATGGTTGAACCCGGCAATCTCGTTTGTTGAATCATTCAGTAAAATTGGTCTCATTTTATGGTTTGTTTTAATCACCATTTCTTTAGAGCCCTAAAAATGCACTAGATGCTTGAACAGATAGAAAATGCGCCCCACTTTATACATCTATGTGGGGATACTATTTATTAATTGATGGAAGTAATTTGAAATAGAATATTAGCATTGATCCTTAATTATTAAAAAAAAAAAAAAAATTAAACCAAATTTCTATCCATGTACATGTATATTCCCTGTTCAGCTCAAATTGGGTCACTGGCAAACAGTAGCAATAGAAATACATGTTGCTGTCTTGATATCTGCTTTGGAGTAAATCTGATTGATTTATGCCACCATTCCAAAACACCTGATCCTAAAACCATCAACTCTTTGAAATGTGAAACATGCAATATCAATGTCAGGGAGTTTGAAATACTGCCCTCTCTTGACTAGAGGCCTCTGAATAAATAAATCAGATTGAACATTATATATATACCGTACTGGAACAGCAACTGAATTGATACCAAAACTAAACTATCAGTCCCCTACATTGAAGTTTGTTAGTGAATCTCTTTGTTTTGGTCACTTTTTAAATAAATTTGTATTCAAAAATGTAAAAGGAATTGCTGGGTTTTTACAAAAAAACATTTTTCAAAAATTCCCCTTGTGCAAAGTATTGTTAGTTTTGAGCCAGTAGCTAGGGCATTTAGGGTATATTTAACAGAGTTATTAAACATCCTTGTGGCTTATCATTTAATTTTATTGGGGAATTGTAAACAGAAATTTATATAAAAAAGTAGACACTAATTATGATCTTACTGAAGTAAACAGTTGACAGGAATGAGTGAAGTTGTAATAACATCTATTGCTTTTCTACCAGGTGTATGTTAACTGGCAGAACTGCATCTCATAATATTCTTATTATGCACCTTTAATTTTCTTACAATGTATAATATATTATGTGTATGTTCGTTAATTAAGGGGTCATTTTTAATAAGCCGATTAGTGTTTTTCACGATCCAGCTACTATTATTCATATGTATTTTGTTATTGTTTTGTAAATTGTTATTAAAGTGAAAATAAATTGAATTGAATTGAACATTGAATAATCATGAATTTGCGGCTAATTTGCAATCTTTTTCATTCCTTTACAGGGAAAAGCAGGAGCCCCCTTCCCTCTCCCCAGCCAAGCACCCCCATGGGAACTACAGCGGGGAGGCGGCTCACCCCTCAACCAGACAGCCTAGGGTACTCACCAACGGCAATGATAACAGCAGCACATGCAGACAGACCAGGTCCCAGAACTCCAAGCCTGTACCAGATCCTGTTCCTGGTAAGTGTTCTACTACTATTCCCAAATTATGTTTCGGTTAAAAGCAAGATTATACTGCTGCAATGTTAATCCCGTATGTACGCTTTTTTATGTTTCTAGAAGAATCAAAACTAATTTAGATGTGTAAGTGTTAACATTTCCACTCATGTCAACAAATTGAATAAATTGTGGGCCGAGATATAATGACATGTTTCTTATAAGATTGTTTAGCAAAAAATGGTGTAAATGGTGTATTTTAACTCTGTTTGGGTGAACTGGTGTATATTGTACTTCTCATTAGGTCATGCATGCATGTTTTTGATTTTTTTTTTTTTTGGGGGGGGGGGGATGGTTGATGTTGTCTGTAGACATGTCCAGTGTTCAGCACCGTAGGTGGTTAAGTCTATGTTAAAGTTGTGAGGTAATGAGTTAATTCCCACGTGGCCTCAAACAGACAATACTCTGAACTTTGGTCAGATAAAAAGCCACAAGGAAGAGACCTAGGTATATATAAAGATAAAGACATAGACATATAAATGAAGACAGGGAGAAAACAGGAAGATTCATGATCGTTTTACTTCCTCTGCATAACAATATCTTTTTGCTTGTTCCCCTCCAGGTGAGCTGTATTCAGGTTCCGGGGCCCCAGGTAGCCGAATGGGATCTGCAGCACTGAGGAAGTCTGCCCCGTCATCTGCAAGTAGCTCAAGGGTGAGTAGTCTAAAGCCACACTGTACTAAAAGTACTACTACCACTAATAATAAAAGTGGATACTTGTAAAGCGCCCAGGTACACCTGCGCTGCAAAATCATCTTCTAGTGTTGAAACTATTTGGACTGTTAAAGAAGTTCTATATTTTTGTTCTTTTAGAAACAGCTGCCTGTCTTTCATCTTTTGTATACATGTTTATTTACAACTTTTTTTTACAACTCATTTAATTTGAGTCATGACCAGCGTCCAGAAACATGGTATTCAAGAAGGGAATAATTAGAATAATTAGGATAATTAGCAAGATTTTGCATCTTTGGATTAATCGTTTGATATTTTGTTGTATTAATAGGGTGGTGGAAGCATCCGATACAGCTCTCAGCCAAGCCCCTTCGCGTCACCTCACCAACAGTACCACTCCCAACTTGGACAATTGGATGGGGGGCAGAAAGTCAGCTTCAAGCCCCCCATGCCACGCCCACCTGTCATCTCATCTTGGTGAGATATAGGCCACACCCACTTTCTCAGTGACCATGAGCCACACCTATCCATATCAAATGTTGGTGAGATGGAGTCCACTCCCTATTTTCCCCCAACCATATATACTACACCCACGTGTTGCTACGTCTTGGCGAGAAGTCATTCATCCCCCCTAGCAATGATGTGCTCTTCACTTTTAAAGTTTTTTGAGTACCCTCCCTTAATAGTGCCATAATATCTTTCTTGACTTGCTCCCCTGTGCATTCTTTCCTGTCTGGAAGTTACATTTTATTTGAGCTTCATTTGTCTTGAATGAAACGGCCAAATGTTTTCACATTTTGGTGAGATACAGTCCTCTCTTATTTCGTCTGCCAAACAGCAACACCATGCCATTATTCTATTTGTCGGTTGTAAACTATTAAGCTATTGCTCTGTCCGTTAAACTAGCTTGAGCTTCAGTTGATTCCCTTTTGTTGATGAGAGCACAAAATACCCTCTCAGCGTTCCCCCTTTTACATCCCACATCTAAATCTTGAACAGATCAGAGAACTATCAAACAGTAGAGGCTGAAGTTTACTCAAGAAAAATACCTGCAATCACAAAGGAGAGTTGTGTTCTGTATTTGACCTTCAAAGAAATATCTTGAGACTAAAAGAGACAGAGGAAATGAAAAAAATTTGGTTGCATATTCTTCAAAGCGTCATATTGTACTTTTCCAACCAAAACTACTGAAGTCTTTTACTCTTTTGAATTGTACATTTATCTTTATCTATACTACCTGAAATCGTATCGTTCATTTTCTTAGACATTTACTGACGTTAGAACAAAATGTGTGCAACTATATCTTATTCCGTCCACGACTTAGTTTTCTATGATCAAATCATGTTATTTATTTATATGCTGATGTTTTAATACTCTTTAATGGATTAATATGTAAATATAAAAAAAAATAATTATAGATAGAAATTAAAAAAGATGCATGAATCCTTTTAAATCTGTGATCGTCTTTCAGCTTTATACACTATGCAAAAATTGAATCTAATTATGCAAGCTAACTCTGAAGTATTATACGTTTATGAAGATGTAGAATTTGATACTTTCCACTTCATTTATTCTTCCAATTATTTAATCTACATTATGACGTTGTTACATTTTCCTGAGGCTTATACATGTATGCTAAAAATTAATGCGAATTCAAAATTATTACTGTTGGAAAGAAATGGAGCGGTAGATACAAAGATATTCCTAATGATCTGTGCTGTATATATGTTTTTATCATTAACTTTGGATTCTATGCTGTGGCGATTATGCTGCATTCTGATGTAAAATATAAATGTAGTTTATCAAATATTAGTAAATTACTTAGTATATTATATTTTTGTGCCATCACTAGTACAAATGCGAATTGAATAGTATATTACAAAACGGTAAAGGCAAAACTGTGAAATGTTTGCAAATTGTGTAAAAAATTGTATATATTTTATTATATCGCCAATCATAACCATTATATTTAGCTTTGTAAGTTTGATTAAAACATTCAGTGACGAGGCCATATTATCTCAAATTCTAGAAATCTTTTAGATACCTTCAAGAGCATGGTGTATTGGTGATGCTACATATAGCCAGCAGTAACTGTATCAGTATGCCCCCCAAAAAAGAATTATGTGAGGTACAATCAGTTTTTAGTTTGCTGCAAAATTGTTCAAATACTTATTTAATACTTTATCAGCATCAAACTTTATTTTATTGAACACAATATTTCAAATATGTAAAGAATGATAGAATTTTTGTATTCTATATCATATATCAAAACATTAATATTTGTCTTAATAATAAGATTTATTATTGTGTCAAAGTTTTCATACCTATTCGATGTCTGATCCAGGGCACATTTTGTTTTTATCCACAAGCACAAATACACATTATATAAATGAACATATTGTTGCACATTTTTGTTGCAGCATTTCTTAAGAAGGAAAAGTTATTACAAGTTTTCTTTTAGATAATTTTTGTATTATTTAGCACATCTAAGCACTAATGCACATTTGAATGCGAAACTATGCAAAGAGTTTAGAATTTTTGATACAGTGCATGTTATCCTACAACCCATCTATTCTAGACAACTAAGGTTTGTTTTGTGGAGAGCAGAAGCCATCAACAGGGCCATTCTCAATATTTTCCTGGAAAAACCTCTGCTACACCATTCTGCCCAAGCACATATCTTTGTGTTCTGTTTTGTTTGTTCAGTGTCAAAAATTGGAACTGTATTTTTGTGCTTACAATTTTTTTGCATTACAGCAATATAGCAGTATATAAAATTAAAGGATTTAGATTTGGATATATGTTAATTTTCCCGCTTTGCTGTTGGGTTAAGTTTTGTTAGAAAAAATTTGGATGTTCAAGAATGCTTTTATCTTTGTAGCATTTAAGAAATCCTTGATGAAGTGACAGGGTTGGCTTAAAGAATCACTGCTGATTGAATCGACCGATTTAAAAGATTTTAATTTGAATTGATCTGTATTTGTTTTTCTAATTTGCTTCAAATTGCTGATCAAAATTTTGATCGATCAAAAAAATAATACTGTCTCTGAAAAGTTATCATGATATGTTACCTATAACTTGGACCTGCCTTAGTAGTGCTGTATTCTTATCTTCTAAAAAATAATCTGAATCTCGTTCTTTTTCCACAGTCTTTTTTTGTGGAGAATGTAGGGCGATGCCAGAGAAACTTTGCGTGTGTCTTGATCACACTATGTATCAGTACGAAGATCATTTTTCACCATTAATTTATTTTTAATAGGTACTTGTTTCAACCATTACATCAAACATTTATTTAATCACTGATTGTCCATATTATATGGTCAACCACACGATTGTATAACCAATTATCAACAGACTTCAATTGCTAGACATGCACGAAAGAAGCACATCGTGTTGACAGTATTTAGAGTATCATTCATATTTATTGCATGGGTTATGTTCAATGGCTTAGATAGTGAGGCTGTACTGATGCTAAACAAAACTAAACATAAGGACATGTTTCTAGTTTATTAGTTTGCATCGTGTCAAATATTTTTCCTCAGATCTCTGACCACTATGAAACATTGACTATTGATGGCTTGCAGGATTTGTTGAGTTAGGTTATAAATGAAACTAAAACAAGCATCTCGTTGATATGATAAATTATTTTGATATGCATCTCGCGTGTTGGCTGTCCAATTGTTTCAGAGTTTCTGAGAATTTGTTGTCAAATAGAACACAAGCGACATGATGACCGCAAGTACATACAGGGAGTACAGTTGACAGTTTAATGATAATCAATTGAAACGCTAGTCTGAAATTTATTTCCTCCTTTAAATATGGAAAGCACTTTGAGCAGTGATTAAAGGAATTAAAGAAGCTCTGTTGGCAGTTTCATAAACTGATTGACGAAGCATTGTAATTAATATGGTATTTTAGCACGAATAGCCCAATGTATAAACTAGTTGCCAAAAATACAACAAATACATAATATGTCCGATTATTTCAGCATATAACAGTGGGGTATATTATAAGCTGTAATGCTTTTGCCTGGGTGAAGTTTGCATTTTGATCATGAAATGGTGTTGTGCAATAAACAGTACGCTATAGGGCAGAAAGTACATCAGTTCAGTGATGCTTTAATATTCAAGGCTATTTCAGTGACATTATGTGTCCCTTTAAAATCCCATCTGGACATGTCTGGCAAATTAAATAAAAAAATGAATCAAATATATTTCCAGGACTGAAACTACAAAGGAATTGGCCTGGCGCACATATGGGGACATAGGTTAATAGGCATTTATTGGTTATAATTAACATGTCTTTTGTGTTCTCCATCAATATTGTAGAAATTGATGGTAGGTAGAATCTGCATTCTCAAAAATATATTCTATTGTGGTATCGTGTCAAAATATACGTGATTTTATTTCAATTTTCAATTCCTTTCATTTGAATGTTCTTTTCATTTCCATGTATGTTGTTGACAGATCACAAAAATGCTATAATAGAGATTTGTTTTGTCAATAGCAGTAAATGGCCATTTTGTTGGCAGTCGACGATTTGTACAACGTATATTATTTGACATGGATACTTGTTTTCCTCACAGAAAAACAAAGGGCTCAGCTATAGTGTCAGAAAAGAAACACGAAACTCAGACACAAAATATTGATAACATTCAATTTGAATCAAAATAAGACATCAGAGCCGTGAATCTTATTAAGCTGTTCCTTTGTATGATTTTCAAACCTTGTTGTTCCAAAATACAATGCTTTTTCTCCAGCTATACCACACTGTACTGTAATCCATATTATCTGAATGTTCCACTGTTTTGATTTATATTATAAGTCAGTAGTAAAGAATTCTATACAGGATCCGTCCGATATATTATTAGCATGTCTAGTGTTCTCTATATTGGACATTGAAATGCCATGTTTTATTTTGTTTTGTTTTTCTTTTCATGTTGTTCCCCTGTTCTTGAGTTTGGTGTATTGGCTTGCAGGGTTTTTAATGTGTTTATAAAATTAGGATTCATATATATATATACAGGCGCGTACGCAGGATTTTTTCAAGGGGGGGGGTTTTAACATTTATAAATCGGTCCGAAAATTTCGCAACGACTCAGCCAGCCGCTGAATAAGCGGGGGGGGGGGGGGGGGGGGGGGGTAAGAGGACACATTTTTTTTTTTTTGGGTCCCAAAAAAATCGCAACGACTCAGCCGACCGCTGAATAAGCGGGGGGGGGGGGGGGGGGGGGGGGGGGGGGGGGGGGGGGGGGGGTGGGGGGGGGGGGGGGGGGGGGGGGGGGTAAGAGGACACTTTTTTTTTTTTTTTTTGGTCTCGAAATTTGGAAATTTGACATTTTGCTCCGTTGGGGGGGGGGTAAGGTCACCTTTTTTAGGTCGGCCATGGGAATAATTTTTTTTTTTTTTTTTTTTTTTTTTTAATAATTAAAAAAAAAAAAAAAAAAAAAAAAAATCCAAAAGGGGGGGGGTTTGAGGTTTTTTTTAGGGGGGTTTACACACAAAAAATTTCCAAAGGGGGGGGTTTAAACCCCCCAAACCCCCCCCCCCCCCCCCCCCCCCCCCCCCCCCCCCCCCCCCCTGCGTACGCGCCTGTATATATATACAAGTTTGATGTGTTATGTATAATCTCTCTTTGCATATTAGGCTTCGGTTTGTATGTTGCACTGGCAACAGAAAATTATATTCTTAATCGTTCATATGCATCATGAATATGAATAATTGTATAACATGCTTTGTGACACTTTGTTTTATATCTGATTTAAATTCCTATGTCAATTCTAATTATTACTGAATAGGCCATTTTCGTAATGTAATATAATTTAATGCACAAATCTTTGTTAAGTGTTGCTTCGTTTCAAATTATTGAATTAACCTGTTACAAATAATTGTATTTCAATAGTGAGAATACAAACTGCATGCATTATGTGTTGTTAGGTAGGACAATTCATAACGTTTGTCCTACCCAGCAAAAGTTAATGTTTGGGATTTTAGCGAGTCACTTAACAAAGATTTGTGCATTAAAATTGATTACATTACGAAAAATTATCTATTTGCACTGGGCCCTATGCAATGTTTGTTTGATCAAATTTCTAATTTTATGCCTATCATTTTATCTCTCTTTAAGATTTATTGAGTATTGTGTGTCCATCGCGTGGGATTTATAGCATTAATAAATTAACCGCAAGTATATCACATATCAATGGAACCTAGATCGAGTGTCTTTATTCTTCTGTTAAAGGGGAAGTCAACCCTGATATTAAGTTGGTTTTAATATAAGTTGGTTTGAATAAAAGTAGGAAAATGAGAGAAACGAATTGGTGAAAGTTTGAGAAAAAATCTGATGAAAAATATAAAGGAAGTTAAGATATTTTGAAGATGCAATAAATCATAGACAAATGGGCAACTCTGTAACTTTTCTGGCGAGCTCCTCTCCAATTTGTCCTAGATCTACATAGAAAATGCCACAAACTTTCATTTTCTTAGTTATTAATGACGGAATATACATGTATATAATAATAATAATAGAAACGTTACTTATAAAGCGCTTACCACCGAAGTCTCTATAAGCGCTATACAAGGATAACGCTGCGAGCAGGGTTCGAACCTGCGCGGGAAGATCCCATTGGATTTCAAGTCCAACGCCTATAACCACTCGGCCATCACAGCTTCCGCATGTCTCATACAGGGGTTATTTGAAAAATATTTACCATTATTATATCGAAGGTGATTATACGATTGACCCTTTAATCTGATTTGTTAACCTCGGAACTTGTTAACACTAACAGGAGTGTGTATTCATATGGAAGGTAGAGTTATATGAACATTCGATTTTTTCTAAAAAATAGTCAAAGCCAACAAAAGTTTTACTAAAACATC